CCATCTTGCTTTCAGTGCTTTTTTTATGGTCTCCGCTTATAGCGCCCTCAATGGGTTAGAAATCAAAAATGAGTTTGGCCGCTACAACATGTTTGTCTATGTCACAGTCCCCTGTGGCCAATGCTGAAATCCGTGGAAGTTGCCATATGCGGGATGTTCTCTGAGTTTCAATGCAGACAGTATCAGGAATTTCTGTGAATATTTTGACCTATACATCTGCAACTTGCCTTCTTTGTTGTACTGCTCATTTCATTGCACCTGCAGTGAGTTTCCACTCAGCAACTCTGCTTCCATTGCAAATTCGTAAACGGCATTGCTGACCAAATATCGCCACTATACATAGCGCATGTGCAGCCCACATTAAAGACAGTGCTGTCAAGCAGTACAGAATGGTCCACATTACATCATGAAATGTGCAAATCATGTTGCCCTCTGAATAGTGTCTTCTATGCGCACATGCAAAATTTATCAATAGATACCTATTAATTTCCTTTGGTTTGAGAGCATGACTGGTCAATAAACAAGCAGGTTAAAGAGCAACCCCAATGGTGGTGAACAAAAATGGGGAGTACAGTTTAATATAGTCACGTGGTATCCAAGTAATAAGTTATATATTCAAAGTGGCACTGTGACTTCTCAATAAATAGTACTAATGGGATAAAATATATGGACCAATTCTGAGGGCTTTTCAAAAACTTTCCACATTTGCACCACTGGTGGTGCCACGTAGAAATGCCTTTTTGATTATGTACCACTGTGGAAACAAAAATGTCATGACCTTGCAGGACCTGGTTTTGTGGATATGTTTTCTTAAAAAGGCCTGCACACCTGAGCTGCCAGCTTAGCCTCACACTTTTTCCGAATAAAATAACATAAAAAATCCTGAAAACATTTGTCCTTCATTCTGAACTTACCAAGCCATATTTATCAAATCATCTTGGTCTCCTTCACTGCCTCGTTTGCCAGTGGTGGCCCAATCGACGTTGGCACTCCAGTGGCATGATGGGTTCGAAGCAGTTAGGCTCTGCGCCTCGGACTTGGGACAGTGTATAACTGTAACCACACACGTGTCACTATACTATGTACAATTATGTGCATTGACGTTACTGCGCATACATGCACCAGCCGGAGAACTGTTTCCACGGTGCCACGTCGACAAAGTCCTGGAAAAGCCGTATTCTTGAGATGTAATTGAAGCGATGACAACACGCTCATTTCACAAAAGCTAGCAATGGCGCGGGCAGAAAGGCGTCTCAAAAGTGATGTTTTAAAACCCAAAATATTGCTGAGTCTAGGTTTACTTGACATAGGCATCTATAATTGGATCCAAGATAACATACTGCAGCAAGATTTCTTATTTTCTTCCACCGTTGGGGTTGCTCTTTAAGAGGACAAGGGAACCAAGGCTGTCGTGATAAAATGGGGCTATGTGAATGACTCTGGAAAATTCTGTCCCTACTTTCATTAGCACTAAGTATGACAGAGATATTGGTGGAAAGGCACAAGCATGAATTCCTGACTGACCGATGATGAGTGCATCCCTCTCCCTAGCCAAGATGTGAGTATGTCATGAACAAAAGATTTCAAACTGGCAGTTCAAATGCTAAGCAAACAGGTCCAAATGTGGCATTCCAAGAATGTTGAAGACATGTTTGACTACCACTGGATAAGGGGACCATTCTGTTTGAGTGATCTGATCTCTGGACAGGGCATTGGCCAACAAATTTTTCCCTGCCAGATAAGTGGCTTGAAGAGAGATATGCTCAGGAATACACCAATTGAGAAGTTTCCAGGTGGCAAGGCATAGGGACAAAGGAGTGGGTCCCCCTTGATGATTGATGTAAAATATCACTGTGGAACTATCTGTCTTGGTTAGAATTAGTTTGTTTCAGACCCTGGATTTGGGGAGTGTTGGATTTGGACACCACCAAAAATTCTAAGTGATTGATGAGTAGCTGACTCTGTTCCATGGATTAAGTGCCGGCAACAAACTGCTTTTTCATGGAGTTCCCCTGCCTGATCTGAGGCATCTCTTCTGAAAATAATTGACAGAGAGGGCCGGGGGAAATTTGACTTAGCATAGTAGGTTATTTTATGAAGTTGATTTCGCATGAGTTGGGTGACCAGAATTCCTTTTGAGATTGGATCCTGGGAGCAATCTAAAGTAATACAGTAGATGCAGCTGAAGGAGACGCATGGGCATCCCAAATCAGGTAACTAAATCTATTAATCCCTTCATACTGGGAGCCATCCACAGCACGGCTTTATGTGAGGATTAGTGCATACCACACATACAGTCTATTCACCATGCAGCTGCTGGTTCAATGGGGCCTGCTGCCGGACAGAGCATTGCATACTGGGCATACCACAGCCCAGCAGTCATGGTCAAAAGAATCCTGGTGTGAAGGGGTTAAGCTTGCTGTGACATCCGGGGTAACAGTACCTTAGATTTCTTTGCATTATGGTAGAAATATCACACTTGGAGTCCTGACCAAGCTTGGAGGGACCTGGTGATTTACCAGGTGCATAGCGTGAGCAAACAGTTCTATGTCTTGTTTTGGCATCGTCGGCCATTATTGAGCACAGCAAGATTCGGATACATTAATTCAATAGAACTTAGCACACTCTATGCTCACTTAACATGTCAACTGCTGAAAAAAAACATTTGGAAAAGTCTCCATGTTACACAGCCCTTTGTGGGGAACATGAAGTGGGCATGGAGGGTGTGGCTTGGGTGACTTTTTCAGTGAGTTTCCTTATGCATGTGCACTGCTATGCAACTGCAGGTAAACAGAAGTGATTTTTTTTTCTGTAATGGAATCATTATTTCCTTGTTAGACCCTTTTTCATATCTTGACACAACAGACAGTGTTGTAGTTGAGTCACCAAAGTCAAGTCAGGCTCTGAGTCACTTTACCCAGACCATCTCATAGAACAGTGCAAATGTTTGTCTGGTTTGGCTCTGTAAGAGAAGACACAGTCTGCTAAGTCTAAAGGCCTGTGTTTCAGATGTCTCAAGCATGGACAGCAAATTAAGCAGTATAAATGTAAATTGATGTGACACCTGCAAGCTTGTCATCCCACCTGTCTTTATGATGAAAGCAAAGCTCCTAAGTCTGAGTTTGGGCCGATTCCAGGCAAGAGCAAGAATGAAAGAGCAAGTTTTATGAAGCATGTTGCAGGTGGCAGTACTTTTTGAGGTGACATTAATATTGTGGTGTCAGTGGATTCCACTCCAAGAAACTCACGGGGTAAGAGAGTGGATTTTTGTAAGTGCTTAGTTAAGGACTAACGCTTCTACTTTAGTCAGTCCTGTAACGAGTCAGTCTTCTTGTTAAGGACAATGCCAGTGAGTAGAGACCAGGATCAAGACATCTATGCATAGTTCTGTATTGTATTAACCAAGTGTTAAATGTTAGAGGGTTAGCAAAATTGTGCTTATTAATTAGTTATTGTTTTGTTGTTTGATTACTGATTGGCTCACACTTGGGATCTGTGGCCAAAAAGCCATTAATACATGTATCTATCAGCCAAACATGCTTTATCGTAGGTCACATCCTAGTAGAGGAATCCTTGTTGGAAAGTTGTAACCTCAAGCTGCCTCTGAATGGTGTTTGCTCTTTCGGGGAGAGACAAGGTTTATTCACATATCACTGACACATTGTATCAAGTTTTGCTTTGGAGCTTCACGCAAATTTTGATGTTGAAAACATGTTGTCTTTCATCATTTATATTTTTTGATGAGATTATCTGTTGTGCTTACTGTACAACTGCAACGTATGCCTGTCTAATGTAGAGCATGTTTGTACAGATGTTGAAAATGTTTTGATTTTTATATCTCCATGATCAGGCAGATCTATTAATTCAGGTTTCCTCTTTCTTTTTATATCAAGGTTGGTTCACTATTGAGGTGTCGGTGGCATTTTAGTATTTCAATCACTCACTGATTTTACATGAGAAAGAAATTTCGATATCTTTCTTGCATTTGTGAATTTGTTCTGTAAGAACGTGTAGTGATGGGATTGTGGGTTCCTAATTTTAGTGTAGCTGCTAAGTGGAATTTCTTTTCAGCAAGGCAGTGGTTTGGTGAATTCCAACTGTTGGTACTCATCAATTTATGGGGTATTTCTATGTACCCTTTGGAGTGCTTACATTGTACAGGTGACACACTGCAGTACGAGAGACATTCTTGATGTTGGATTGCATGTTACCACTATAATGTATAATATATTTTCTGTTTACTTTAGAGGGTTGCTACATGCTTGTTAATCATTATGTAGTATCATTTTGACATAGGAGTCAGAGCCCCCTTTTTCAGCAAATCGTACCCTCTTTTACCAGGACTTTTTCTCCCTTTTTATGGAAAGCAAAACGTTTCAATTTCTTGCAGTCTGACAACTTACAAATTGCAGCAGTTCTGATAAAGTTAGAATGGTTGGCAGGTACGCCCCAGCGCTTCAATAACCATTCTTAAACTTCAGTTGCAGGAAGCAACACAACAGTACAGTGCTGCACACCATGTAGGTTTTTCCAACCATGCATAATAAACACATAGTATATCAACATTTTAAATTTTGGGGCAAACCTTGTTTAGGGGGTGAGGCCTCCCCCATAGCAAATTTTTAATGTGACCTTTATGGCCTTTTCTGAGAGATGAGACTACATTTTGGGGCATGTTACATGCAATGGGAAAGAAAAGAAGTGGAAAGACAAAACAAAGAACCTTTCATTTACATAAAAAAAAATCAATTTTGGGGTGGGGAGGGGCGATATGACCCCAACTGCCCCTCCCATCTCCCCTTGGTGAATACATAGCCATAGATTGTACTTGTCACTTATGAGAAACAAATTTATGGAAGGAATATTTTTGTTCAAACACTTAATTTGTGATTCCTGAGTAATCATCAATCCTGTAACACTGCTAACAGAAACTATCCAAAGAATAAATGATTATTTTAATTTGTTATCAGACAATGAAAATTGGAATTTCTATCACTTACCAACATTTGTTCATAAAGAAATTTCATTGCTTCACTTTTTTTTTGCAGTGATGTAACTTTCAGTTCATACTGCTCGACAAATGCCTACAGGCAAAGAAAAAAAAACATGTGTTAGACATGCTGGCAAGTAACTCTTCATGAGAGTGAGAAATCTAACTCAGACTGGCCAGCCAACACTGGCAAACTTGGTGGTTGGTATGCACTAGTAAGCAGGAGGGTTTGGGCTCTAGTACCACCTGAATAAGCTTGTGAATTTTTCTAACAAGCTCTTGGACAAACACTGAGCATATAGTGTCATGAATACACCAGTTATTCAAAATTTATAGTTACTATTTCTTTAGTTCCCAAACCTGCTACAACAATGCATTACCATGAACAACTGCTATCTCACTCCTATGAAATAATAATAAATAATAATAATGTTGATTTATATAGTGCCTAATCAATTTAAAATCAATGATCCCAGGCACTTTACAATCAACCAGCATTGCAATTACAAAAAGAAAAACTAAGAACATTAAAATGTAAAATATAAACTATGGGCATGTACCACAGAACAGCAGAAAAAATGTAAAAACCTCATCGATAAAAATCACAAGAGCAAGACTTCAAAACTACAAAAGTGCATTGAAAAGAGCAACAAAAAACGATTGATATGCCTTACAGAACAGAAATGAACCCCCCCATAAAAAATGGTAACACACGTAGTTAAAAGGAAAACAAAGATCAATAACAATTAATTAAAACACGAGAAACAGAAAAACATAACCATTATCATAAAAATTGCTAATCAATATATACACCAACAAGCAATTGTGAAAATCAACCAGCTATAAATATACTCAAATTCCCATCTTCCCTGCTATTAATATTAAGCACAAATTCAAAATATTCAAGCTTATTCCAGACATGGCTAATCAATATATACAATAAGCAACTATGAATTTACGCCGGCTATAAATATACTAAAAATCTCATCTTTCCTGAGATTAATATTAAGCACATTCAAAAATCAAACTTATTTCTGACAAATAAGCTGCAAACAAAAGACCCAAACAATCAAGAAACAGGAAAATGTAAATGAACAACAAAAATAGCTATTCATCATACGTCTTGTGAAACAGCCGTGTTTTCAAGCCTGCTTTAAATATACTCAAACTCTCGGCTTCCCTGATGTTAATATTGAGCTTACTCCAAACCAATGGGCCAATAGCGGAAAACATCCTATCATAAGCTGAGTTCAACTTAGTTCTTTGGTGCACCAGACTGGATCCCTCAGTAGACAAAAGTGTGTTCCTTACAGGTGTCTGGATTTGAAGTAGCTCACAAAGGTAATCTGGCGCAAGTCCACGCAGGCATTTGAAAACCAGCAGACAAACCTTGAAGTTAATCCTATAACGTATAGGTAAACAATGCAACTACATTAGCACCGGTGTAATGTACTCATGTTTCTTAGTTCAGTCAGGAGTCTGGCAGCAGCATTCTGGACTCTCTACAACAGTACAAGGGTCAAGGAAGGTAGCCCAGCCGACACCGCATCGCAGTAGTCGAGACGGAAAGTGACGAGCATGTGAACAACCTGCTCAAATACAGAGCGATGAAGATAACACTTTATCTTGCTGATGTTATGAAGATGGTACATGGCAGTACGAGAGACTGTACGGACATGACACTGCATACTCATGTTAGACTCTAAATTGATTCCAAAGGTCCTAACGTGAGACATGGAACTGATGCTGTGTGCACCGATGTTGATCGTTACAAATGGAACTTTCCTCAATGATGCTTGGGATCCCAGGATGATAATATCTGTCTTATCATCATTCAATTTCAAATAATTGAACGCTAACAAGGACCGAATATCACAGCAACAGGCCTCTAAAATAGCAATCTGAGATGCCACATCAGCAGAATTAGGTCTGGCTGAAATGTACAACAGGGTGTCATCGGCGTAAAAGTGACATTTGAGGCCATGTTTGCGAATAACATCACCCAGAGGTCAGATGTAGATGTTAAAAAGGATGGGGCCTAATACTGGCCCCAGTGGAACTCCATAACATAGTGGATAAGAAGCAGCTGTCTCAGACTGAAGACAGTCACTACGAGAAGAACCCCTGACAATGACTCTCTGACGGCGGTTACTGAGATATGATGAAAACCAATCTAATGTTTCTTTAGTCACACTAACATGAGATTTCAGTCTGTGGAGCAGTATCCCGTGATCCAGGGTGTTGAAGGCTGTGCTGAGGTCCAACAACACAAGAACAGTCACCATACCCTGGTCAATGTTGGAGAGGATGTCGTTGTGCACCCGAACCAGTGCAGTCTTGGTACCGTGAAACTTCTTATAGGCCAACTGGCAGGGATCATAGAGCTGGTGTTTTATTACATGCTGAGTGAGTTGATTTGCAACAACCCGCTCCGTAAGCTTGGAACAGAAAGGGAAGTTGGTAACAGGCCTATAGTTCTTTAACTTTTGTGCATCAGAGCCTTTGAGATCTTGTGATTTTGGATTTGGAGTCACAATAGCCGACTTCCAGGCTGAAGGAAAAATGCTACATGGGGGATTGATGAATTAACCATTGCCATGATTACTGGGGCTACATCTAGCACACATTATTTAAGAAGCCTGGTAGGAATTGGGTATAACCAGCAACATTTTGGTGCTGAATGCCGGATACGACATCGTCTGCAGAGAGAGGAGACCACCGGTAGGGATTCAGTGTTGCCGTCCAAACAGGGGCTGTCCTGCTGCCCCAACACAGAATCGCGACACACGCTTCGGCGATCAACGATCTTAGCGTCAACAAAAATTGCAAAACGACTAGCTGGTTCAATCAAAGATGTATGAGCAGGGAATGGAGCAGGCGATTTTGAAAGACTATCAATCACAAAAGATGTGACCCATGTCATTCTTGTTGTTGTGGATAAGATCCTGGTAATATTGTAATTTAGCATCATGGATAAGCTTGAACACCTTGTTTCGCTGTTCCTTATACAGATCACGGTCAATTGCCAGCTGAGTGGAGTGCCAGCGATGTTCCAGCCTCTTGTGCTTCACTTTCTCGGCATGGATAATGTCAGTGTACCAAGGTGCATTGTAGCGGTGTGTTACAGTTTTACACTTCAGCGGTGCATGTTTTTCGAGGAGATCCTCCACAACCTTATTATTGGCATCAGCAATTACTTCTGGATGGATGTCTGATCTGGCCACATCCAGTCAAGCAGAGCTCTGAATGTCCCTGCAGAAGCTAGCGGTGTCAATACCAGTGATCTTTCTGAATTCAATTGTAGATTGCTTTCTCTTCGGTTTACCAACATCCAGGCAACAGGATATAAGTGCATGATGAGATAGAGTTGGATCAAAAACACTGACGGATTTCACAAGATCCGCCGATGACCGAGAGATGATCAAGTCAAGTACGTGTCCTCAGGAGTGAGTGGCACTGATCACATGCTGTTTCAAGTCACATGATTCAACTAGATGATTAAAGGTGATGGTATCCCTTGCCTCAAGTTTATCACTGTGGATGTTAAAATTCCCCAGGATAACTAGTTCTGAGGAGGCAGTAAGCATTTCCTCCAAGAAACTTGAAAACTCCTCTAGGAAGATGGCAGTATTGGTGGCCGGTGGACGATAAACAATAGCCAGCGTGAGTGAAGTATTGTTACACTGTACATCAAGAACGATATATTCAAAGGAGGAAGGTGCAAATGATGTTCTCTGTGTCAGTACACGAACCAATAGTTGTGATTTGTACAAAATTCCAATTCCTCCACCGGCTTTCCCAATACGAGGGTTATGGATGAAACCATAACCAGTGGAGGTCAGCTCAGTAACTGATCTGATATCATTTGTTCCAAGCCAATTTTCAGTTATTCCAAACAAATCAATATCCCTCTCAGCCACAAGTTCAAGTATATAAGTTGACTTATTGCGGATGAATCGTACGTTCAGTGTACTAACAGTTAAATGAGTTCTCTCCCAATTATTGGACAACGATGACGATGGAGCTCTGTTGATCCAAATTAAATTTTGAGGATTTCTGCATCGGTCCGTTGGTCGCCATGAAGGCATAAGCCAACACATGATGAGAATACAAACATGCAGCTGACCCTAAGTCAAGATGTAATTAAAAACAATCCAGATGGTCAAATGAGCAAAATGAAGATACTAGTATGGTCACTGGAGTTCACAAATACAGAAAAACATCTCAAGAAGTTTTGGTTTAAAATACCAGGGGTGAAACAAAAAATGTCAGTAGTAACATCTTGATCATAATAAAACCTCCCCTGAAAATGGGGGAAAGTGGTGTGTATGAACTACTTCTCTGCCCCTTTTCTATGCAAAATGTGCACATGTGTGCATAGAAACAGCTACACGGATACAGGTAGGCTGAAAACAAGTAATGGTACTATCTTAAGGTTTGGTGTCCTATGCTTCCACAATTGGAGTTTTGGACATGGAATGTTGTAGTCAAGGTGTAAGATTGATGTGCAGGATATGACAGCCATGTACCTGGGCTAGGGTTGGGATGGCAATGTGCTCAATGGTGTGCATGTGTGATCTGTGGTAAATCACTTATGTGCAAGAAATGTCTATCCATTAAACCTGTGTGAAGTAAAAGAAATCCTTGTAATCAATTTTTGACAATTGACTAGAAAAGTGAAGAAAATCAACAGGAAAGTGAGTCTCAGTACTGTTGAAGTTTCCAGGACAACATCAAGCAATTAATCGTACCTTAATATCAAAAGGAAATATGAGATACCAACTGAGATCAATATTATGAAGGGTGTTCATTTGTTTCTCATTTTTGGCAAGCACAACTTTTTGAAGTGAATTTGACAGCTTGTTCTTTTAAATGGGCATTTTTAGCTGACTGATGATCAGCCATTTTCAATTTGGCATCTTTGAGTGATTGAATGTAATCGATGCACTTGAATTGCATAGTTACTTGGCTGTGGTGACAGTCGTCAGGGCATAAGACTTCATGTACATGTATTCTTCTGAGCAATTATGCAAGTGCTCACTGCACACATCAGGTAAAGAAGGTGTGTGCCCATGACAAGACCTCTATAAATATGGCCATGATGATGCCCCAATGGTTCAAAGGTGATAGCAGTTGGTTGTGAAAACACCATCTTGTGGTAGTGGGTTCGTGAACCAATTATATAACAACACCTTGGAACCAAGACTAAATAATACCATGCAGCCCTTGGGAAACCTGTTATGTAATACAATAGTACTCACTGCAACATCATCAAAGAATGAAACATCTCTTTCAGATGGGTTTTCCACTTTTGCAAGGATTGTCATGTTCTTCTTGATGTTGTTCAGGTCTCGCTTCATCACTAAATAAAAAAAATGAAAATAGCTAGCACTGATTCATACTTGAAAAATAAAAGAAAAGTGTAAAATAAATTTTAAAAAATTAAATTAGTGTCACAATTACTGCACAATTTTAACTAAATTCCAATGGAAGAAAATATAGCCTGTAATATGATGAAAACATTAAAACTGGCATTTAGTGTTGGATTTGAGTTTGTCATAAGTAACTGCAGGTCCCTGTAAGCCCATCACAAGCCATTCGGTCTTATTAAGCAAGTTCACAAGCTATTTAAATGACCTATGACAAAAGCATCCTTTCGTCATTGTACACCCTGTTAACTTATGAAGAGACTTGTGACTGGACTCCTGATGGACTAAAATACAACTCTGCTGGCATGTACATTCAGAGAGAGTCAATCAAGTTATCCAACATTGTTACGAGGGCAGACCACTGGATTGTTATTTCCTGCTCAAATGCATTATGACTACTACCACAGGTAAAGCTTAGTCTCCATATGGGTGTTATAATGCCAATATCACCCTGGAGGCAATTTATGGTGTCCTTTGACAAATGTGCTAAAACCAAAATGTGTCAAAATTCCAAATAATCTCATATCACATGCTTCTTTTGAGATTTTAACATTTATTGCAACTGAACTGGTGCTTTGCTGTGATATGTTACCAGAGACGTAAACCGGGAGGGGGGGACACATATCCCCCACTATTCAACCGAGGGGAAGAGTTACTGGATCATTCTCCCTTTTTGTGGTTGAGAAAATAAGGTGAATTTGAGGTATTTTTTAAACTTCAAAATTTGGTGATGTATTTTAAACTTTGTTAAAATGTGTCTTTTCATGGAAGCTTTTCCTAACACTGCATATACACCCATACCTGTTTTACGTACAAAGTGTGGACATTCCTTTGTTCTCCTGTGGTTAAGGAAACTTGAGGAAAATGCTCCTTTTTCTCCAATTAGGATAACTCCTTCGAGCTGGATTATTGACGATGATTTCCTGGACTGTTCCTCTTCATTTTGCCACAGATAGCCTTGACTCCTAAATGCCTCTGAAACTGTTTTTCAGCGAGGGGGAAACATTGTGTGTACGAGTCCACACTACGCGATCACACCCTACATTGTGTGGACTTCTTTTGTGTAGAGGTCCACACTATGTATGCCACACCTGCACACATTAATTTACAGGTATTTCTCGAACTGCAAAATTTGTAGATGTAAGTTAATCTTTTTTTTTTTTAAAAACATGTCTTTTCATGGAAGCTTTTCCTAACACTGCACTGTGTACTGAGTCTTGGCAAGTAATGGGTTTTGTGATGTCCAGTTGAGTATATGTGTATAGCAAGTGCACCATATAAATATAATTATTCTTCCAAACAACCAAACTGTATGTAATAAGACTGAAAAAGGGATGAAAAGTACAAAAGCTTAAAAAAATTAGATGTAAGGTTAATGAAAATGTAGACAAATCTGATGAGATGCTATTTCTGTTGGGCCATTGCACTCATGCACACTTTGGCTAGTCACAACACGGCCAGGAATGAAACATAAGCATACAACCTGCACGTGAACAGGATGGCCCCACAATGATGGCTTTTAATTTTTTTCCCAGATTTGTTTATACTGAAAATGTACATCTGTGTTATGAACAGTGCCTCCTAGTATACTACGGTTTCCAGCACATACCCCCTCCTACTTTTCTAATTTCCATTGCCATACAATTTTGTTTACGGAAGTCAACCCCCATTCCCTAAGTCCTCGGCACAGATTTATGCTACATCTTTGTTACACCAATGGTTAGCTTTATCCTTGACAATTTCAGCTTTATTTGCCAATTATAAGGAGAAATGTGTAAGATGTGAAGTACTCAAGGGGCACTGTTGCATATGTGTCAAATCAGTGTGTGCGTTTGTACAGGCCGATTCTTATGACTTGATGTAGAAAATTGGTAAAGTTGAACGTGGTTAATTTGGGGAAGTTGGAGTCTCACCAGCGTTTAGAGCCTAGAGGGTCTAATGTTTTTATCTATCAGGTTTATGTTTGGATTCTAGTGACAGATGAAGTTCACTTTTTGTGTACAAGAATTTTTACATATACTTTTGTTTTACTTTATTTGTTCACTTTATGCTTTGTTTACCTCTGTAGCAATGATTCTTAGTTTAAGTTCTTTTGTTGATGAGGATTTGTGTTGAACATGCTTCAGTACTGTACCATCCATTACCTATTCCAACCACCTTGTCTGTGTTCTCCCCTTTTCAGTCTGCCAGCAATCAAGGGTCTCAGGCCCCCCCACCCCCATTACACAGAGTCGCTATGGTCAGCCTCCAAAGCAGGAAGCACATGATTTACTGCAGAACTGAATACGTCCACATGAGATACAGTTGCTATAAGTTCCCACCGATGAGTCTGAGGAGATCGAAGAGTGTGTGTGGGTCCTACACAAAAGAAGGGATTACATCTACAAGTTGTGGAGGTGCATGTCGGTGTGGTAGAATTCACATATACAGTCAATGTATATGACTTCAGCTTAGAGGCGCTCCGTGAATTGATAAGCAAATATATCTTTCCTGAAGAGTTGAAGGCCATGTAGGCATGACTTGACATTAACTAGACTCATAAGTTATTTTAACACATATAGGCAGATGAGACCTGGATTAGTTTCATCTAGATATAGTAGGGTAAACCAGTAACAGAAGATAGTCATATTCTTTTAAGATCGGTTAGTAAAGATTTGTCACGTTTTACCCTTGGTCACAGATTACCAGCTCCTGGTGATGGTTTCCTCAAGTCGGATTGGTGGGAAGACTGAAATTCAGTCTATATAGTGAGACTGAACAATCTTCAAAGAAACCTCAATAAGACAAACTGCATGTAGCAAGTGAAAAGTCCCAATCATACTCCTTTGGGGCAAACAGACAGATCTTGGGAGGCAGTCATTGTCAACATCTTATGAAAATTGCAGGAGAGTAGAAATTGATCTTCCAGTTGAATGTAACCAGTGAACAACTATATTTGGTACGGGCCTGTATACGGTACTTCCTAATCAGAAGGAGGTCAAGTAACTTTGCGGCCAAAATTGACCACTTCACCCCCATTGGACCATACAACTATGCAGCGGCTGCCGGGCTGCATTTGCTGGGCCACGGTTGCCAGCCCAAGTGTGTCTGGCCGCCAGAACGTGTCTACAAGGTAAAGCTATGTAAGCCCAGAGAGTCTCCCCCCACTTAATGTGGGTTGAGTCTACTACTGTATACCTACCAAATTACCAACACATATGCATTATTTCCTAGTCCATTACTTCCATTCCCTAAATTCTTGATCCCCAATAGTGCACCCCTACTCACTCTCCCCGGCCCCTTCACAAGAACCCCATACTTTCCATCCAAAAGAGATTCCAGGCTAAGCTTCTAGCCCTCCAACGGTCAGACAGCATCTCCATGGCCCTATACCAACAGCTTCGACCCTCCAGTACAAGATGTCCAAGATTCTTCGGCCAGCCCAAGATACAAAAGCCCAGTATCCCACTCCGACCCATCGTAGCTTCTCAAGGTGGCCCCACCTACAACACCGCCAGGCACCTCACCAAGATCCTTCACCCTCTGGTTGGCAACACCCAACATCATATCAAGAACTCGGACCAGTTCGCCCAGTTCATCGACGGGTTGTCTCCACGCCCCACAGACATAATGGTCAGCTTCGATGTGGTCTCTCTCTTCACTAATGTGCCCACACCTGAAGCATGCACCATCGCCAAGGATAGGTTACTTCAAGATCCCTCACTCAGCGACCGGACCAACCTCACACCACATCAAATCGACGATCTCCTGATCAGCTGCGTATCATCTTCTTGCTTCCAGTGGAGAGACAACTTCTTTGAGCAGTCTTCCGGAACCTCCATGGGATCACCTCTATCCCTGGTTCTGGTAGACCTGTTCATGGAAGAATTTGAGCAGACAGCCCTCTTCTCTGCAGACCTTAAGCCCAGCGTATGGATCCGGTATGTGGACGACACTTTCATCGTCTGGCCACACAGCCCACAAGACCTCCAGTTGTTCCTTCAACCCCTCAACAGCCAACACAACAGCATCCAGTTCACCATGGAGAAGGAAAAAGACGGACGCATTGCATTCTTGGATGTCGAGGTTTCAAGACTACAAGATGGCACCCTATCCCGCACAGTGTACATGAAGCCAACACACACCGACTGCTACCTGAACAACCGGTCATTCCAACACCCCAGCATCAAGGCCTCCGTCAACAGAACCCTTATGCGTCAAAGCATGCAACATCTGTGACCAAGACCACCTGCAACCGCAACTCCATCACATCTCCACAGCACTACAGCAGAACAGGTTCAAGTCAAGACAGATCAAGACCCAAGACCCTAGACCCCCTCCAGACCAGCAGGTCTCCTATACCCAAGGTCAACCCATTCGGCACATTAGTTCTGTCACCTTCCCATACATAGGTAATACCTCCCACCGGATCCAGCGCATCCTTCTACACCATGACATCAAAGTCTTCCATACCACCCCCAACAAGATCCAAGCAGCTCTCCAGTGTCACAAGGACAAGCAAGACCCCAAGACCCGCAAATACTCACAAAAGAGATACGTCCATCGTGCTACTGCAAACGTACTTTCTGTTATACCTCTACACCATGCAAACCTTCGAGACTTATCTAAACTCACTTTAGTTTGACTGCAGAAGTAACTTCGGAGAAGCATCACAGACGTCTCTGAGCACTCTAAACATGAAAGTTGCCTTTCAGAATGCAAAAATTTCTTAGTGGGCTGCTCCTCCTTTTACTTCAGAAGCAACGATAACCTGTATTTTTTATTTGATTTTTATTTATTTATCTTTTTAATTTCCACACAGAAATAAACAAACAAACAAAAACAAGTCGTCTTCTGCTTTCCAATTTAAAAACAATAACTGAAAATCAAGAAGACTTGTTTTTCGTTTTGAAAGAAAACAATGAAAACAGAGTAAAAAGTTGTTTCTTGTCTTTCATTCATAACCATGTTCTTTTTTGTTTTTCACTGTGAAAATGAACAACAGCATAATCTATTGTTTCATCATGTAAGAATGAAAAACAGATCCATTTTTCATTGTGTAATGTAAGAAACGTCTCATAACCAATCAAATCAATCATGGCTGAACTAGAGGAATACAAGGAATTTGAGCATGTGAGAAATTTCCTTAAGAGTTGCTCCTTTTACTTTAGAAGTAACAAAGGCAACTTTCATCTTGAGAATTGTTCTGAGGTGTTTGTGACACCTCCTCAAAATTATGTGTGCTGTCAAAAAAAATTGGGATTAAAACTTAAAACAAAATTACTTTCAGTTTTCGTTTTCAACAGAAAAACAAGAAAAAAAAATTTGCATTTCTGCCTCATTTTTTGTTTTCAAATAAAAAAAACAGAAAACGAGTTGTTTGATATTCATTTTCAAATCGAAAAAACAAATGAATGACACCTACACGGGACTGTACAGAGACCAATGGGTATGTGTACATTTCGTTCATTCACTTTTCAAATTAAAATGAATATCACACAACTAAACACAGGTTGTTTTCCATTTTTCGATTAGAACAAAAAGTCATTCTTCATTTTGGATTAAAAAAAAAGAGAATGAGAAAGACAAAGAAGTCCTATCTTTTTTTGTTGTTACGTTTCTCATCTTTGATTTAAAAATTAAAAAAGGACAATCACCTTTCTCCTTTTTCAATGTGCAAATCAAAATTATCTTTCTGTATTCATCCACTTTTTGAAGAAGAAACACAGCTCCATTTTTATTTTGTAATGTAAGAAACATCTATGTGAGTAGCTCACAAGGAACTTTTTGCAGTCATCCTGAGAAGTGCTTAAAGACATCCCTGAATCCTACTTGAATAGACGTGTGCAGGCAAATGAAATTAAGATGATTGAATTAATGTAATTTAAAACAAGATAACCTTTGTTTTTTGTTTTTCATTTTCAACATAAACAAAAATTACTTCTTTGTCTTTTTCCTTGGTTTTCTTTTTCTCATTGAAAAATGAAAAAGGAATGTTGTTTTTATTTTTCGTTTTCAAATCACAAAATGGAATACTTCTTTTTATTTGATTTTTGTTTTCAAATCAAAAAACAAATGAACAGAATGTACACAGACCTCTAATCATCCTAATCATCCAATTAGGCTGATTTCAGATAAAACACTAAGTCCCACTGAAATACTTTAAGTATCTGAATCACTTAAGCAGTACTCTGAAGCTGGCTTTGTGTCGGCTTATGGAAACGTCGGTGGGAAAGTTGTGAAAGTTGTATCTGCAGTTCACTGCACAGCATTTACTCTCCTAAAGCATCAAAGTAGCATGTTTATGGACTTCAGTCAAATTTTTGTGATGAGACTACATTTACTTGTTAACTGCTACTTTTTATGTTGTGCAGAATTTGAATACCCACTTGTAATTGATACAGAATGCTTAAAACATCTGACATGATTTGGCAACTGTATGTGCACCCATATCTGTATCATAACACACGTAATATTTATATAAGATTTACATTGACACTAACCGAGAAAATTCCAACCTTTACAAGACTTTGTACAAAACTTTTCAATTTTCAATTGCATGAGTGTGAAGTGACAAACAAGGAAATTAGCTGATATGAGGAAAACTTGCATGCCTGCCCTTCTCATTGGCCAAGAATTTTTACATAATTAAGTGATAAAATTGCAAACATGTATTACCCTCAACATTGGATATCACACTGTGATATCATAGACTTGTCCTCAACCGCAGTCCAAACCACGATGTAGAGACTACCTCTGCTACTTTCACCCATGCAGTTGTCAAAAGTAAACTCTAGTGAGAGCACTGAATTAGTGTACAATGTGATCAGCATATTGAGCACTCAAATTTGTTAGTCAATGCTTGAAGCTCATTTGAAGTTCGTTTCTTTGTATGACACGTAATTAACACATAATTACTAAACTGTTAATTTATTTGTTTTTCGAACTTGCAGATAAAAATGTTAGGGTCGCACCAAAATATTAGGATCAATTGGGAAACATCCTCCTTTTTTTCTTCTCCATCCTTTTTCTCCTATTTTATTATTTATCTAATTTTGGGGAGTAAATAACCAGCAAGTGTACATATTGTGGCCTGATTTTATCCTCACTTAAGATAATAATTCCAAACACTGATGAGCAAAAACAGTGAAATGTTCTACTTACCTTCAACTTCAGCTTCCAGTGCCTTGACAGACACTATATTAGACACAAAAGTGTAACAATGAAACCATCAGTGTGAAGGTGAATAAAGTCATTCCTTGTTCTCATATGCACTCTTTAAGGAGTTATGAATAAGTGAGATAAAAATTGCTTGTTTTGAGGACAACACAATGCTATTTCTGTACCCCTACTCTGCCGCTGTCAATGACTTTGGGATAATGTCCAACTTCCAGTGATGTGCGACCAAGTAGCTGAGCAGGAGGTGTGTGAGTGAATATGCACAGGTATTTAAAGATAAACAAATCCCAGCCTTTTGGCAAGCAGAAAATTAAATGAGTGATAATAAACCTTTTGGGCAGTTGTAACTAGTCACACACAAGCAACGTGGCACATGTGACAGTCCCTTGAAAATAATAAATGCCTGAAACAAAATATGGTGGTTGTACTCATAGAATACAATGTACATAGGGCTTAGTTGAGTACATATTTCATATTTTTGTCCACCACGCATGTAAGCGTTCATACAAGGATACTATAATAGAGTAAAATTAGGAAGAGACATATCAAAATGTTTATTCAAAATTAATATTAAATCTTCAAAGTGCAGTATCAATTACATCTGGCATTGAAGCACTGGGTACGGTTATAGTAAAAAATATTCCATTCACACGACTTCTCAGGAATTGTGCCACTAATATAAATCACAGCAAAGCTTTACATCGTGCAAAAGGGAACATCGCGTTTAGAATTTGTCATGTGAACAAAGAATCAGATAATCTGCTAATTGCTTGTGCTGAGAACTGCTTATTTTATTGTCAGCATTATAAAGCTTGTGTCAATTGGGAAGTGCAACAGCATTTGTATTTTTTGAGGCTCAAAGACATGTAGTGGTTGCATAATTTGTCCAATACCATAACAAAAATGCTGTATCTGAATAATAATAAGTATGTGCTTAGCCAATCTTAATAGATCAGGAGAAGAAACGCTGATAATGCCAAGTCCAGGATGAGGGACATTCAATGAGAGGGCATATTATCAGCATCTGTTCTCCTGAGCTGCTCCCAAACAAACATTTAATGAAGCACATATTATTGCCATTCATAAATACCTTTTGAGTCATGAAGTCAAAACAAGTTTTAAACAATTATACATTTACATAACAATTTGTTGAACGGTTGTACTTCTTTTTTTTTTTCAAACATCCCTACAGCCATGTTATGGTATGTTCCTCTCACAAGTAGTCATAAACAATCTCCTTTTATGGCACAGATGCACATGTAGCACATACTGCACAAGGTGGCGCACAGCCAGCTGCTGCTTTATCAACCATTAAGACTGGCTCCAGACCAACAGGAATGATTAAACTGTCTCATGTATTTGCTATTTAAAGAAACTGCCAATTTTCACGTCACTTGGCAATTTATTTGATTGGTTTACTGATCCAAACATGCATACATAGGAAACAAGGTAAATCAATTTGATTATCTTCTGTAGTGATTACTACATCTTTGACAGTGAGGAAAAGGTAGCTGAATCCACTTTTTTGAGTACAACTCCCTTGTTAGGGCAACTAACACACGGTGCTTTAATTTAAAAACCAAGCATGCTGAGTTGGAGCACCATACGTGATATGTGTATTAAGGGATTAGAATTGGGACAACTGTCATATAATTTTACTCGCCAGTTAATTCCTAGTATTTGGAAGTAAGAATGCATTTCTATCGTTAATCTGTTTTGTCTCACTACTTTTTTTACTCAAATTATAACAGAAATCTTACCATCAAAGAGTTGAGTCATGGGTGTAAATTCATCTACAAAGGTAAGAAGTTCGGGGCTCTCCTTGTAGATCTGCTGAACAACATACTTTAAAAGTGTGCATGTCTTGTCTCTCCCCCTGCAATCTGCTAACTTCAAGAAGAGAAAAATCAACACTTACAATGGAATTTATAATTTGTCTAAAGTTTATTTCTCTTTTTTGAATTAATAAAGACCATACTGAGAGATCACACAGTCTTCAGTTCGTTTGATTTTGGTTACCTCATTTGAGCGTTAGTTTTTATTTTAAAGCATTGATGGCTATCCCCCTTTGGTATTTTAGCAGTGCACATTAATTTTCTGAATACCGTCCCCTAATCAGAGACATCCATCTTTGTATTTCAAGTTTTGTATACTACAACCTTTGTCATATCCTTCTAGTTTTGTCCTTAACATTAGCAATATCCCCGAGGTGAATTTTTCATTTAAAAATCTAGTCCCCTCTGCAACCAAGGTTTCATTGTTTATCTCGGCAGCAGGGAAGGTGACATTATCAGCTAAATCTATGAACACTGCAGGTGGCCAGTCCACCCTTCCTGCCAGATCTACCTATGTAAACAGTGTTGGTCACTCACTCTACTCATGCTCTGCTGTAGCTCCAGGGTTTCCTGGGCAATTTCACTGAGTCAGGATTTGCACTAATTTTGGTGTTTGTGCATCAATTTAAGTGAATATTGGAAAGTGTGGTTTCAAAACGTTACAAAATGATATTCAACATTAGTAATTAACTTAATGAAGTTAAGTCAAAGAGTGTTGAGAAACTGTAGGCATACCTCACAAAATGTTCAGTTCAGTGACAGTAATTATTCACAGCAGTGGTTTGGCACTTAACAATAACTCCCCCCCCCCATCAATGCAGTTGCCATTAAGAGAGATGCTCGAAATCCTGGTGTCACCTGAAAACTTGACTTCATTTGGCTTAACTTGGGTTTTCTGGTAAATGAGAATTCACAGCAAGGCCAGATACTTTAGCCAATGTGGTGTCCATGGGATCAAATCCAAACCATGACACTCAAGAGTATTGTGATTAGGGTTGGTTGTGTTTATTGTAACTTGTTTGATCACAATGGGAGCATAGCATGCACACGGTATCTTAGCATGAAAAGACAAAGTGCACTGGGAGTAATGACTGACAAAAAATCTTTATGTGACCTATTTACACCTGATACTGGTTGGCTTCTTTTTCACTGCAGTACTGACCACACAAAACTTCAAATAACAGATTTGAAATTAAGAATTATAATTATTTGAGTTACCAAGAACCAAGCCTCTATGAGTAGCCTTTCAAGCATCTGGCAAGGAAAGATTAATTTTAGATTGAAGCTGACAAAACAAATTCATTTTGAACATTCATTTCAAACTAGACGACTGCACTGTTCAAACTGTTCTACGGGGATGCACTTAACATAATTATTAGAACGTAGAATCACTAAGGGACGGCGACCATTTAGACCCGGTTTGAAAAGGGCCCCCCCCCCCCGGTAGCCCACCCGGTATAATGCCTGCTCGGTATTCAGGCTACTCCAGGCCAGTATAAGGACTGTCTGCACATTGGCATTTCAAAGTCCATGATGAAAGGCTTCCCCCACCATGCTTGCACAGATGAATAGGGGTCTTAGCGGATTAGTGTAAACATTGTATAGAGCTGAAGGATTAAAAACCACAAGCAGGTTCCTTCTAAGATAGATTACATGTACCAGTACTTGCAGACAATAGACCCCAGGATGGAGAAGTTGGAGATCAACAACCAGTCCAGCATCCCAGGCTGGTAGCCAGGCCGGTATGAAAGGGGTTTTTGCAACTGGGCAAGCTTACCGGGGGGGGGGGGGCCCTTTTCAAACCGGGTCTAAATGGTCGCTGGCCCTAAGTTTCCATCACATCACAGAGATTTAATTGCACGGAATCAATGTTCAGTTGGCAAGAACACTGATGAGGATTCAAGTGCTCAAGGTTGTGATTGAACCAGGAATTATCTGATACAGTGTCAGTTACACGATAGTTAGTTCCAAGAGGTGATGTACCATCTCACATCTTAAATAGTAAAAGAGAATCTGTGCAGTGTATACAAACAAAAGGAAGATCTCAAAAAATGTACATGTTGGGCTGAGTTCATTCATTAATTGATTTTCAAATAAATATTCAACCTTCCATTAGATTGAATATTCGAATATTCAGTCATACCAGATGGGAGATTTTTGATAAACATGGTATGAACATAAGCAGTTCAAGGTTTATGTTTACAAATAAGTACTTCCAGAAATCTTTGGTAAATATTTGCTAGTTTTGATGGTGTCCAACAATACTTGCTGACAGAGTTGTCATCTTTGTTCATTTACATCCATCACTGTCCTCCCATGCTATAGAACTTTTCCTACCCTGTCAATTACTTAAAATTTCGTAGTGGAAACCACGCTAACCGGTGTCAAGGAAAACTAAAGGGAAAGCTTATTTTATTTTCCAAAAGACTTCCACTTTTTGGATAGCAATCAATCACTCTAGACCTGTGAATCACTTTGAACACGGCTAAGATTACCCTCCCCATTTTCCACCTTAAAAATTCCCTTATTTGTGTGGTCCACATTGCTGTTGGTACCATTGCTTGGGATCAGTGGAACTTTCCTTGTGTGACTGCACAGACTGCATCATCATTCTCTGATCATCATTCTCCAGCTGAAATATCGTCATGAGGATTTTATCATAGTTTAAATCAGTTTGCATCAATACATAATCATTAAAAAAAATGCTGACTTGAAGTTCATGACATTTATTAATAAGAAATGTATTTCCATATTACAGTCATTTTATATTTTGTGTATGGATGCTGCAAACCCTAGGTCATCATAATTATGGTATATTTCCTCCAAAAGGACCTGCTCCCTTACCTCGAGGTAGCTCTGAGTGGTCTCTCGTCTGGGGAAAGCTTGGGTTTGGGAAGATCAGCTGACCTCTACAGGTTTCATAAGGGAAACAAGCCCAGTCTAATCTCACAGTGGCAAACCCCTAATGGGAGGGGGGTCGAAGTGTGAAATTCTCATTGTCCTCACGGCTTCAGTATTCACAAAATCCCCCAAGCTAACATCTATTCTTACACCCTTGGAACTAATAATCAGCTTCCAGCCTTTTACAAAAGAGTTAATGACTCGCACTCAGCCCCTACAACAGGTGTGCATGAAGCATGTGCACGCATGATGTGCAGCGCAGATGTCCTGTGAGCACCCACCACAGCTGGTTTAACAGAGAACAAATCGGGATCCAAAGTGCAGCGTATCACTGTTGCCGTTAGTGAAAGAATAAGGCAATGGTTGGACAGTTGTTTCATCATTCGAAGGTCACAAAAGCCATGCATATAACATCTACTTCGACATCCCTTCCACATTAATATACATCCCTCATTACCATTTTCTTATTATGCTGCTTTTTTAATTTATAAAAATATGGCATAACTGTACACTGATATACCTTTCATGGTAAAGACTGCACAGCTTGCTTGGCTAATCAGTGTTCCACGTATGTTAGAGAAAGGGACATGGTTTTTAGAGGCACATAAATGGCATTTAACTGATCAAGGGGTGTCAGGTCAACTCGCCCCCTGGCCGACTTGCCCCTTACCGACTCACCCCTTTCCAACTCGCCCCCTCGTAAACTCGCCCCCTGACCGACTCGCCTCTTACCAACTCGCTTCCTGGCTGACTCGCCCCCCTGACTGACTCACCCCCTGGCCGACTAGCCCCTTGAATGACTTGCCCCATGGCCGACTCGCCCCCTGACCGACTCACCCCCTTGGAACGCCAAGCGAATATGGCCGGCCCGATGTATTAAAAAAAAATCAATGGTTCTAACCAACGACGCGACACGAACGACTAACGGACGGTGATGGATATTTGGACTACCAATCACCACTAATCACTTATTTATTCAAACGCTCCTATGTCCACTGTCTGATTAGGTTATTTGTACATCCAACATACCCTCAGGATCAACAACATTGAACCCTCGATCCGTCCCATTAATATTTGGGTATGTGACTGTATCTTCTTGTAGTGACCCGATATCCAGTTAGTTAGTTAGTTAGTTAGTTATAGTGTTCTGTTGCTCATTCACTTGACTGGGACCTCACATATACTGCGAAAATTGATTTAGGTTCTTGGATATACGCTTTTTGTGTGATGTATAAAGTCATATAGTGGTACATTATACACTGATGTCAATTTTTAATGCCTCATTATTAATTTTTTTTATTGCGTAATTTTTATTCCTTTTTTGGAATTGAATATCTTTGAGAGTGCTCTTAATTTGTTTACAAGTACCGGCACCAGATGACATGACTGTTTTTCCATGACGTCATGACATGGACAGTGCATGCAGGGATATAATTCAATATGGCCGATCAACAATGTGATCCTTGATGACTGTACTCGCCGAATAAATCAGTATTTAGTGTTAATTGTGAACTAATAATTACATCCTGTGGAGTTATCGGAACCTGAAAGTGTGTAGCGACCGTTACACCCTTTGTCATAAATCATGTCTCCTTAACAGTTCCGTAGGTTTGCGTCACCGGGCATTATGCCTAGTATGTACCATTTTTTTATCCAAAATAGTCCGCAAAGTTAATTAATATGGTAGAGGGTTGGCGTTGTGGCGTACAAAATCCCATAGACAATACACAGGAACGTACACACGATAATACTGAATTAGTTTTACCAATATCAAAAAATATTGTTACCCCCCAAATTCCACACAAAGGGAATATCCACCAAGCTTTAAACAAACCCAACTTAGAGTGCCCGCTGCAAACCCCAGAACCTATTTTTAAGGGCAGCAATCACTGATTCCATCTCTGACTGATTCTATTTTTTATTAAATGGTGAATGGGCCGGCCATACGTGCTTGGCAAACTTAGGGGGGCGAGTCGGTCAGGGGGCGAGTCAGTAAGGGAGCGAGTTGGCTAGGGGGCAAGTTGGCTAGTGGGCAAGTTGGCTTGGGGGCAATTTGGTAAGGGGCAAGTCGGCTAGGGGGCGAGTCGTTTTGGGGGCGAGTTGGTAACGGGCGAGCTGGTAAGGGGAGAGTCGGCCAGGGGGCGAGTTGACCTA